ACTAACTTCGTTGCGTTTGCTCGGTGATACACGTCTTTGTTCTGTGCCTACATTGAGCAGTTCAGCGATGTTTAGCGCACAAGTTCTTCCAGTAATAAGTCGAGACCATTAACTGCGTGCTCGAGCTGCGGCTTCGACCAAATGACGTCCCTGAATAGGAATGTCGACTAGCTCGGTAAAAATGAGGGTTTTCTGACATGATTTGCTTCAATAAAGGCTTATGCTGCTGCTTTCCGCGTTCGTGATAAGACAGATGCTTGGGCTAGTAGGTGATTGGGATTCAAAATATTTGCACAGCGCAATACTACGAGTAGTTACGACGTAACTGCACGGCGTGGCTTGGCTGCACTTGGACAAGTGCTTTACCACCATTACTACCCTTATTACTACCATAGAGTTTCCTAAAATTAACTAGAGGGGACTTTTCCGCTGTGATCGTTCAGCGACCATGGAAATGATGGGTAGTACACACATTTGCCTAGTCTTCGCACTTCCGGGCAGCGAATCGTACTTGCGGCTTCGTTTATTGCTGTGTTTCGGTTTTGTTTCAAAGGAAAGAACGAACACTTTTAAACTTCGTGACTGGATTTGAAAAGGTAAGCCTAAAAAAATAATGTGGTGAAGCACATCCGCTGAACATTTGATAATTTTTGTTACGTGAGAAAACAACTACAAGCCACACGAACACACGCGGAGCCAGAAGCAGGCCAGAAGTACGAAGATTAGACAAATGCGTGTACTACTCATCATTCCCATGCTCGCTGAAGCGCCGTGCGTTGCAGCTTCCACAGACACTAGCGCCAGAGTTCCCTCTAGTGTATATTAGGAAACTCTATGATTACAACTACCATTATTATTATTTTATATTATTATTATTATTATTATTATTATATTATTATTATTATTATTATTATTATTATTATTATTATTATTATTATTATTATTATTATTATTATTATTATTATTATTATTATTATTATAGAGTAGCAAACCAGACGTCGTAATCCTTGTCGATTTCCCCACTTTCCCCCATTTTATAATCTCTCTATGTATCTCCTATTATATGTCACAATGTGAACTTGATTCTGGGAAATTCGCATGCTGTACAATCTGGATTGAAGGAAAGAAGAGCTCGCGCATCTTTGCATGTTAGCGAAGCCTTCTCGTGTTTTTAGAGCACGTTGCACGAAAATACAACACGCGTAATGCACACGGACTATATAGGACTCGTTTATTTACAGATCGCGACGTGTCTGTGGCTTCGGATCGTCGCGTGTCTCGCGCTGTTATGCGTTCGTGAATGGTGAAGCGAATTGCCTGTTTAGCAGCTTGCGCGTCGAGAATCGCCGCGATGAACGCGATATTTGTATGCAAACACGGAATCTGGACGCGCACTCTGTAACACACTTGTCTGTAGAGTGGTCAAGCGATTAATTGATTGATTGATATGTGGGGTTTAACGTCCCAAAACCACCATATGAGTATGAGAGACGCCGTAAGGTCTCCGGAAATTTCGACCTCCTGGGGTTTTTTAACGTGCAAGTGGTCAAGTGCGTGGAATGTGGATGCTCGTGCCATCCGCAGGCGCTAACTCGCGATACCTATATAAGCTCCCCCTTCTTGTTTGAATATATCACAAGTACCCACTATGATTATGTTTGGTGTAATTACGGTGTCGTTTTCTAGGTATTTTTGCAAACATGGAGTCTAGAGTGGTCATTAAACCAATCAATAGGCTATACCCTTTCTCATAAAACAAGGACACCGAACCGTCTTGTCGAGCTCCTCGTATCTCCTTTATTCCCTCTTCCTTCTTACCTACGACGTATACGCGTATTAAGCGTCGTTTCATGCGGGCTAGCAGTCCTGAAATCGCAGCTGCTCTAGCTTGCTAGCGACGAAAGAACACCGCGCTGTCTACGTCAGTGCATTAAAATCACTTGATGTTAAAGAATCCTATAGGTGGTAGAAATTTCCGAATCCTTCCACTATACGGCGCGTATCATAATCAAATGGTGGCTTTGGGACGTTAAACCCCACATATAAACCGATCAATCAATCAATCAATCAATCACCAGTGTGTGCACGCGCTTCGCAAATCACGCGAGTGAAACAAGCACACGTGTAGCGCACAAATGTTAGCAAACGCTGCAGTTAGCCGGCTGTGAAGAGAGCTAATGGTGTTGTGTGCGCGGAAAGGACTCATTCGGAAAAGACTGTAGTGAAATGCCTTCTGTATATCGTCGTTTACATCTAGCAAAAACCTGTCTGCGAAAGGATATCATGCACCGAACGAAACACGCCCGGTACGGGTTAAAATGTTTATTCACCCAAAATCAGCTATAGAGTGCGTTGGTAGTAATTATTCTTTCTTTTCTCACAAAGGTTGTTAGAGAGAACGTTAGGTAAATGCTTACTTTTTGTTTATGTTGTTTATGTCTTTTACGCGCTATTGAGATCCAACTGAATATCGCATATAACTTGCACGCAATCTGCTTTATGGCTTAATTTCTGTTCGTTTTCTTTCTCGAAGACTGTGGTGAGAGTACGATGTGGGAGAGTATCCATGCCTTGATAGGTAGTCGAAAATTTGTGCTTAATTTACGTGGCAAGCTCGTACTTGCACCTTGGGGCATTACCGGCAGAGCTTTGCACGCCGATGTGTTTTAACTTTTCTCGGAGAAACTGCCTTGAACGAAATAATTTATTGATTGATATGTGGGGTACCAAAACGTGTTAAAACCACCATATGATTATGAGAGACGCCGTAGTGGAGGGCTCCGGAAATTTCGACCACCTGGGGTTCTTCAACGTGCACCCAAATCTGAGAACACGGGCCTACATTTATTTCGCCTCCATTGGAAATGCAGCCGCCGCAGCCGGGATTCGATCCCGTGACCTGCGGGTCAGCAGCCGAGTACCTTAGTCATGCCTTGAACGAAATAGTTGCGCTATACACTTGTTACTAGTGGGGCATACACATGATGTGCGCTTGAATGTCCTTTTGCGACCCTTGTCATCTAGATGAACAGGATGCCGCAATGCCTCCACATGGAGGTCCAAATAACTTCAAACATCCGGCTATAGGCTATAGTTGTAAGATAAAAAATTTAAAAAAATCGTCAGATCTCATCTGCCTTGGAGTCGACGTTATGGGAAGCGTGTGGAGGGAATGTGACCATGTATTTTTATTAAGCGACACTTCATGAAATGACGCTAAATATATGTATAAATGTTTCACGCTCAGACATAAATGTTGAAGAGTTGCGGATGTTTATATAACCAGTTGTTTGCGCTTAGACAACGATGCCAACATGAACACGAGTATTAGCAACACCAGAAGCGATAAGCTGATATGAAGCGCTGATGCTCGCGAGGATGGTAAACATTGCTACATAAATTAACTTCAGCGCATGGCGCCTAACTTCAAATGACGTTAACCTGACGTGACGGCTGTATTGTAGGAGTACATATGTAACGTTTATAAAATTGAATAGCCTGCGCGGCAATCACAATTGACGTTTCACGGACATAGGGTCTATTTGAAAAGAAGTTCCGAGACCTGGCGTTGCTCTGTGGTAGAATGCTTGATTGCCATGTAGTCTGCTTGCATTAGTCGGGTCAACGCTGCCGATCAATGCAGGGTTTTCTTAACGCTCACGCGCTGAAATTGCCGATGTGTCTTCTCATAGTTCCTGGGCTGATAACACCTAAGTGTTATTCACTTGTAGCACATACCCGCATACCAGTGGCACATACCCTTGGGCGGGTATGTGCCACTGTTTGGCGGGAAGTGTTTGACGCTGTACGCGGCGGAATTTTGACATTCATGTCTTGACCAGCGCCTCGTATTCATCAAATCATCTTACCGTCCCATACTAATCTTGTTTCACGCGAAGTTAAGGGGTTGATCACGCGAGTACCCGACGTAAGCGGCTAGATAGATAGATATGCAGATAGACGCCAGACAAATTCAGACGGAAAGATCAGACAGACTCAGTGACTTTGACGCCGTAGATCGCTAACGCATAGTCATTATTGCCAAACGAAATGATTGAACAGCGTTTCCTTTGCTACAATTGCACAACACTTGGAAAGCGCCCCGCCGCGATGGTATAGTGGCTGAGGTACTCGGCTACTGACCCACAGGTCATGGGATCAAATCCCGGCTGCGCCGGCTGCATGTCTGATGGAGGCGGAAATATTGTAGGTTCGTGTGCTCAGATTTGGGCGCACGTTAAAGAACCCCGGCCAGGTGGTCGAAATTTTCGGAGCCCTCTCCTACGGCGTCTTTCATAATCATATGGTGGTTTTGGGACGTTAAACCCCACATATCAATCAACACTTGAAAATTTTATTTCGTGTATATCATTTTTTTTCTTTTTTGTGGGATTTAGTTTTGATACACCGTCGCACCAGTTTTGATAAACGCGGTATAGTGACTTGTGCCTTTCGGAAGGCTGCGCAACGAATGGCTTTGGAAGCTAATTAATTATGCTGCGCAGCTCTCGAACAGGCCGAACTTTCTTTGTAGTTGGCTCGCCCTGCCTTCTGAAGCGTGAGCAGAGATTCGAGCTTAATTGTTCGCTTCCTGCCCTCTGCTATCCGCGAGCTATATGTCGCACGTTTTTTTTTTTTTTCTCTTTCTCTCTCGCGTGATTCCGTTCGTGTCGAATTAATCCGGTCAAGCATTGAATGGAAGAGATCGGCGAAGTGGAGAAAAGGTGCGTAGGAGGTTAGGGAGGAGAGGTGCTGAATAGAGTGGTGAGGTGGCGAGGAGATGTGGAAGGGGAGAGGAGCGGGGAGTGGTCTGGAGTAGATTGTTCGCTCGAGTGCTCGGGTGCGCGGACCTCCGCGCTTTTTGCTCCGTATCTCGTAGCGCTGTACTGTCTTTACTTTTCTTGCTGTTTGTTTGTTCGTTGCTCAGACACTGCGTGTGTCTCGATGACCGTCCCGAGGACTTCCCTCCCCGTGTTGACTTGTGTGCTTCTTTGTTTCAGCTTCGCTTTTCGCGACGTTTACTTGCGTCCTGGCCGAAGAAGAGTGCCTGAGTGAGTGTGCCAACAACTTCCTCTTCTTTTCTTATTTTTACCCCCGTTCTTCTTCGTCTTCTCCTTCTTGCTCTTTCATCTTCTTTATTTTTTTCTTTCACGCTGACGCGGGTTTGCGCTAGAGCGTGTCAGGCTGGCGCAGTTCCCGAGAGACCGAGATGAGATGCGAGAAAAAGTTGCAGGCTGTACCCTGTACCCCCCCCCCCCCCCCCCCGCGCGCCGGCGGGAGCTGTGATTGTGTCAAAACTCGGGGACATGTAATTGAGACACGAATCTGCTGAGACATAACAGTTTTTTTTTATCTGAGAGTTTCGGTCAGTATTCTGGAAAGCTTCCGAAAGTTTGCAATGAATGTACACAAGCAGCCTTTGACAGGTTATTGGAAAGCTTTTGCGCGAGTTACATTGCTCATTGTTTTCGTTAAATAAGTAACTGTTTTTAAGCCATAAACTGTATGCACTGGCTTATGTACTGTGTAAGGTATGTTGAAAGCATTTTGAGAGAGGCGGAAGCTTGGTGGTGGCAGTCCTCGATGGACATTTATCGTAGCGCGCTATCACATAACAACCGTATCATATCAACGGATATTCGTCGAAAGTAAAACACGGAAATTACCAAATTTTCGGTTTCCTTGGTGAACGCGCACTCAATCTCAAGAGTTGAATGTCTAGAATGACGAAAGATTTGTCATAAAGCGGAAGGTTACGATCGCGTAACCACATTGTTGTTAAATCTCGCCATGCGCTTATTTAATGTTAACTTGGAACGGTCAGTCATCAATTTCAAGCTATATAATTTGTGCTTTCTTACCCTCCTTTACATAGTATATGAACGTTTAACAAAAAGAAAGGAAAGAAGCTGGTTGACAGCTACTTACATCATCTATGTACTTCGGCGAGATTTCTTTTGAGAACGTAATGTAGAATTAAACGCCCAATACGTAACGTAACACCGACTTAAGTGCTCACAGCTGCAGTAAACGAAATTCGCTTTAAGCCGAACAGTAAAATTTACAACAGCCAACATCTCTCATAAACTCGGGCGCTCAAATACTGTGGGGTCATTCAAGCCTCTTCACGAAGCTCACAAACATATAGTTCCCACATTTGTGTTATTTGTTTTTTGTTGTTGCTTGTTATACACAGTGCTGTAAGCACTTCTGATGCTTCTTGTGAGACGCGGCCACTTGAGTTACCGTAAGTTTAGTCTAAACGTTAAGCGTTGCAGCTGGGTAGTGGACTTCGTTCGTGTACTCTATTTATCTTGTTCATTTTTCATTGCGTGGTTCCAAAGAAGCACATTAATCCTTAGATATTTTTTATAACCCCTCGCGTGACGTTCATTGCTTGGACGTGGCGATGTGCAGACTCGCGCATCCAGTGCTACGACTGCAACTCGGAACAGGAGCCTCGCTGCAGAGACCCGTTCAACCACAGCGAGGAAAACCTGCCGACGCTGAGGGAGTGCCAAGGATGCTGCGTGAAGATCGTCAAGAGGCACGGAAAGCGTATGTCCACTCGCTCGCTCACTCACTCACTCACTCACTCACTCACTCACTCACTCACTCGTATCATTCGTTCGTTTTCGTTCATTTGTCAATGCTCACTGTTGCAAGGACACTGGCAGCCTAAAACTTCATAAACTCTGTAAATGTTTAAAGCGCAAAGTAATATCATCAGAACTATCATACGACACATGCCCCTCTTTAGTGGGGAAAGTTTGATACAACCTACACTTTAATTATTCCTGTAAAAGAAAGTTATTTACTTGTTTACGCAACACGAACATTGGAGCATGTGCGGTTAGCGCAGAGGCATATTCTATTTACATCTAGAACCGCGTTGCTTGTATGTACTTCTGTTTTAGCTAAGAATTCCTTTGTCATGCTTCGCGATGCTGTTTTAGCAACACACTCCGTTGGCTTTACCCCAGAAAATAAGGCGAGCATGTTCAGTGGTATTGCGGGCCTAATGATTTACGAAATCTCAGCGACCATCGCTTACGAGCGGAACAAAATGTTTGCATTACAGCGTGGTTCAAACCGACGCTTGGTCAATGCAAGCGCCATTTTCACATTCGTGCTAAACAAACGCATAAATCTCGCATCGTCACGTTGAAGCAAATGTACCTGATTAATTAACTGAAGCGCACAATTAACAGTGCACGACTGCAGCGCCGGCGAGCCGTCACATGACCCCCTGAGAAGATCTTTGACTATCACTATGATCCTATTTCGCGATGCGGTGTCTCACTACATTGCCATGCCGAAGAGCTTTGGGACTGCAGAGTGCAGAAAAAAAAATGAAAGAGGTTCTGACACGAAAACTTGGCGCCGTGCTTCGGCTGTAAACACCATAATTTAGGTATACGAAGCCTTAATTTATTTTCATAACCGGCGACAAGTAATTGATTGCAGTAAAGTTTATACTACTCTCTAAAAACACACTTCAAGCTCAGCGTGGCCTTTGACCTAAAGAAAGCAGGCTGGTCACGTTACTGAAAGCGCCGGAGGCATCGCTCACCCCGTACGACAGGCTACAGCGTCAGCCTATGAGTCCACTCAACACTTCCTAAATTTATTTACAAGGTAGTTGCCCACTGCAGGTACGAAAAGCTATAGAAACTACTTCGTAGCCGTAAGCTGCCAAACTGGCTTTTTGCCAGTCGTGCACTTGGAAGTGCCAGAAGGAGCGACACCTATACTCTTGCCCGCAAAGCGCTGAATGGACATTGGTTTTACTAGCACGGCCACAGCGTGTGTATACGCCTTAGTGGCATCTGGGGCTTATTACCCCTGATGTACGTGTTAGAAAGGAAGTGTGAAATGCGACGAATGTTAAAGAAATGCGCCTACCTACAGGACAGGTAGTAACCGCGGAGCCGAACTATGAGAGGAACATAACTAGAATAATAAAGATTTTATGGATGACATTCGGTAAGCATTCTCAAATATTGAACGGTAATATACGACTAAACCTCAAGAGGAAGGTATATAACAACTGCATCTTGCCGGCACTTACCTACGCAGAAGAAACCTGAGGCTTACAAAGAAGGTTCTGCTTAAATTGAGTACAATGAAGCGAGCGATGAAAGGAAAGTGATAGGCGTAACCTTAAGAAACAAGAAGAGAGCAGAGTGTGTCAGTGAACGAACGGGTCTTAAGGATATCATAGCTTAAATCAAGAAGAAGACATGAACATGGGCTGGGCACGTAGCACGTAGGGCAGGTTAAGCACTGGTCATTAAGGGTAACTCACTGGATTCCAAAAGAAGGCTAACGCGCGAGGGCCAGACTGAAAATTAGGTGGCTAGATGAGATTACGTTTGCAGGTACCACGTGGCAGGCAGCAGAAAGCACAGGACCGTGTTGATTGGCGGAACAAGGGAGAGGCTTTTACCCTGCAGTGGGCGTAGTCGCGCTGCTGCTGTTGTTGGCAATGATTATGGCGATGAAAATATGACTATAAGGACAAACAGCGGCTTGTGAACATAAGTACAGATTTAGTAACGTTGCGAATTTCTGCCCTGCATTGCGCTTGCTTGTCTCGTGTGCTCAGAGGCATAGAGTTTCGTCAAATTAACGAGAGGAGACTCTGGCGCAGCGATTGCTCAGCGACCATGGGAATTATGGGTTGGGCATAGGTTTGCTTAGACTTCGTGCTTTTGGGTGGCGAATCGCACTTGTAGTTTTGTTTATGACTGTGTTTCAGTTTTGTTACGAATGAAAGAACAACCTGTTTTGAAGTTCATGACCGGATTTTAGTTGACGATCCTAAAAGGTGAAGGTGGCGAAGCGTAACTGCCGAGTATCTTGGCCGATTGTTGTTTTGTCACAAAGCAGCTTCAAGCCACGTGAAGCCAGAAGGAACGTAAAGCTATTAGCAAATCTATGTACTACCCGTAATTTTCGTATTCGCTGAAGTGCCATGCATTGCGGCTTCCGTAGACACTAGCGCCAGAGTTCCCTCTAGTGTGTATTTAGGAAAACTATACTCAGAGGAACCGCACAGTTGTTTGGTTGTGCGCTCCGTTTCGTGACGATTCGTATCTTGCCTGCCAGCAAGGAGTTCCTGTGCTTCGATTCGTTCACCAAGAGTTTTCCCGGACGGCCGTACACACTTTCCCGGGTGTGTTGTTGTCGTTATGACGTGTTCTTTAAATGTTCTTTATAACACGCATTCGCCGATTCGATCCAGCATCTCGTAACACATACCAATCTCTTTCGTGACTTCAGAACACATATTAAGCACGCTGCACTATATAATAGGCACGCTATAAAATGCATAATACATACTCTATTTTCTGGAGTATGTATACTATCTGTAAAGTGTGTATACATTATAGAGAAAATATTGTATACTAGTTCTTATAGAGTCTATAACAGCGGGTGTACAATAGTTACAGCTTAACAGTTATATCGTTGAATTTCCCGCGAAAAATAACGCGCAGAGCCAAGCCACCACGCGTACTATACGTCGTCACTTATTTGGTGCCGTATTCGTCAAAAGCCAGATGGCCAGCGACACAGGTTCATATGGAGTGCACTCTGTTTCGTGTAGTCCTATCTCTGTGCGGTTTCGGGTTTGGCGAAGGCGACCACGCCTCTGACCCTTCTTCGGTGGCGCGGTAATCGAGCCGCGTGCGGTCGGCTGGCCAGGCGTGACCAGCTCCCCGCCGCCAGGCGGCGCCGACGTGCTCGGCCGGTCCCCGGGAAAAGCGCCCGCGGAACCAGCCACGCGTTTAGTCCCGCAGGGTTCGGCGGCACTTGTTATGCCGTACCGTTGCACTTCGGAGTCGAAATGAACCCGCGCGGGCATTAGTTAACTCGGAATGACCCCGATCCCTGGCCTGTGCGTCCGCGGCAGCAGCTCAGCCAGCGCAATGGTCCACTGCTTTATATATGTGTGCTGTGTGCCGATCAGCTTTCCCACCCTGAGAGTCTTGGGCAGCGCAGTTCTCTCGGCCCTGAAACAATCGCCTAATGAGGACGTCACCGGCGGCTCTCCTGGAACATAGAGATGCTTCTTTAAGTGGCGTTATAATTAATTAATGGCAGCAGTGGCTCTCGAGTAGGGAACGGGGATAGGGAAAGGAGGAGAGACTGGACCTGTGAAAAGTGGAGTCGTTTGCACGGCACGCACACGTGCGTACGCACAAACTCAGGCACACGCTCTTCTGTAATATGTGCTTTTTGTATTACAGCTTTTTTTCCCCTTCTTCTTTATTTTGCAAAACAAATCTATTCTCTGAAGCTGGCTTCACCTCACAAAGGTTCCATTTGCAGGAAAGCTAGCTTTCGCGAACGCCGAGACCTACGCGTCGTGTACAGGTGGCGTTGGCACAGTACGCTCGCGTGAACTGATTCTAAAGCACGGCGGAGGAACCTCACACGACCAACGTGTAGTTTTAATAAAGCTTTCTTCCCGTGAAAAAATCTAGTCGACTTAAAAGCCACACTTTGTTTAGGCCGTCAAATTTTAAACGGCTGAAAGTTGAAAATGCATTCAATTTCCAGGTACCTAACTCGGGAATAGAAAGTAATATCGAAATTCCATAAGCTGTACTTAACAGGAACTATAAGGCACCCAAAATAAATGTACTTGACTATTTTGTGTAAGTGTACGGCTAACTTATGAACAAAATGCTCGCGAAACTATAGTGAGCATTGTTCTGTTCACTATAGTGTTACAAAACAACTAAATTATAGTACCAAACTAGTCAATTCTCGGTACTCTGCCAGGTTCATTTACAAAAAAAAAATCACCAGTACCAGCCTATGACGCAGAGTTATACCACCGCCAACGCTCAATAATCCTTTTGGGGCTGTCTCACTACACCACCAGACGTATACTCAAACAAGTCTTACAGATAATTTAAATTAACATCGATTATTGCAGTTTTAGTGCAATTACCCCGATATTATTACGAGCCGTAGTGGAGGACTCCGAATTAGCATCCACCACCAGAGGTCCTATAACATACACCTCATTCTAAAGGGTGTCCTTCGCATTTCGCCCGCTTCGTAATGTGGCCGCCTTGGCTGGGAATCGAACCCGCGCCCTCCAACTTCGCTGAGCAACACCTTACGTGCTAAGCTACCACGGCTAGTAACAGAAAACAAGCACGGCTAGTAACATTTTACGGGTTGTCTTAGAACAACACACGGCTTTCACAGAGCCATCGACTATCCGTCGAGGTCAACCTTCGATGGCGCACAATATTCAGGAAGCTAGGTGGGTAAACCAGTCTTGTCACGTTTCTTAAGACAAACTTGGTTTAATGGGTTCGTTGAGTCGACTAGCCAAGCAGCAGCTCAGACAGATCGTCGTTGTCTCCTTTCACTCCTGGATCTCAACCAAGCATATCATGTGGCAATAATATTCATTGATTTCACGAAGAATCATGTGAGGAAGGAAGTGTCGCTGGAACACAAAAGCAACTTTTGTTCTTTAGCACAAAAGCTGTGTTGTCCTTTTGTTTTCTTTGTAGCGTCTAGTTTCTATTTTCTTTCGCTCCATCTTTGCCCAGTGCCGGGTAGCCAGCTGGTATAAGAACCGGCTGACCTCCCTATCTTCCCGCTTGTTCCTTCTTTCTTTCCATCCTTCTTTTCATCCCTACCTGCCTTCCTCTTTCCTTCGTTTTTTTTTCGCTTTGTGCTTCGGCGACCCCTCTTGCCCAGCGCACTGTCCGAAGCTGCAGCTCCGGTTGCGCGCTACGCAGAGCATCCTCTCATCGCTCCTGGTGTTATGACTCTTTACACGTGAACTTGGGTTAGTTCGGACAACTTTTAAAGTTGTCATTAATCGGCTCGGGTGCCCAAGTTGCAGTGAGGCGAGGTTTAATTGTGCTTTATAAGGATAGAGTGAAGGGGTCTCGACTGGGTCATTCAAAGTCCGCGCCACAAGACCTGGTCTCGGGTGTGCAAAAAAAAAAAAAGACAGAGCGGAGTAGAACAACCTGTTCGAAACGGTGCAGGTGCGCTTTCGAAGCGATATACCTCGCGGTCTGGACCGCGAGTGCGTCGCCGCCACCGTCACCGCAAGTGTAGGGAGGCTCGAGGCGCGACACGTAAAAATAGGGCGTCCGCCTCGCACCGCGACTTTGGCCGTGGCTCACCCGCATTTAGGAGCCTAGTGGGCTAAAAACAAACACCTTCGCTCAACGGGAAGTGGGCTCACGTGTACGCACTGAGTGGCGAGCACGCGGCTGCAGAACAGCGCGCTTGTTTGTGTAGATCCGCCGGCAAGAAACTGGTGCTCGCTGGCAATGATGAGCCTCGTTCTTGCGCATAAGTTCTTTCTGTACGTTCAGACATGAGTGGCAGACTGGCACCGTGTGTTCCACGTAGAGGCGACAGAAAGAAGATGGTTCGTAGAGGATAACTCCGGTGAAAGATTTCATTTGCAGTCGCTTAAAGGGCCGAGACTCGGAGAGAGATAGAGATCAACGAAGGAATAGCAGGAAGGTTAACTAGAGTTAGTCCAGTGTGTTACCCTAAACATGAAAAAGAGGACGGGTGTCAAAGAGATTAGAAAGAGTGAGATTGAGTCTTAATGAGTCACACGCACCGCACATCGTAGCTATACGGACGAACACTTAAATCAGTCGCCTCCAAGTATTGCACTTGGCAAGAGCAACTCTCTGGCCTGACAAGCTTGTGTACGGGATTCTTAGATGCTTTCTTCGGGAAACAGTCGATCGTCGAGGCAAACAGGAAAGTATGGTGTCGCTTGTCAAACTCGGAACGCTGGCACAGTATAGGTGATCGATTGTCTCTTAACAGTCGCAGTTATCGCGCACGGGTGAATCAGCCATTCCAGTGTGATAGGAGTTCGAGTACGTGGTTCTGAATGACGGGGCGTTAAAGCACCAACACACACAAAAAAAGCAGTCAGGACACCACGCGTCGTTTGTGGTGTCTTGACTCCTTTATTGTGTTCCTGTTTGCTCATTATCTCTTTTAGGATAAATAACTACCAACTAGCTCATCTCTGTTACTGGGATAGAACGCCAACCTATGGCAGCTTAACGACACTTGGAGTGCAGTGGAGCTTTTCTTAAGATGCTGGGGGAGAGGTGAGTGCCATGATTTAAAGTCGCGAAGTCGCTCGCTCTATATTGTCCACGTTTGACCATCATCGCCATGCTCATTCCGTTATCACGCCTCGCACTAATGTAGCTACTGTTTTAACAACGCATTGCTAGACGTAACGGAGACTACTCAAAACTACGTGACTTCGTTCCGCTCGAAGTCGTGGGCGCGAGTCTCGAAATGTCTACCGGTGATCTCATGGTTATGTGTGCACCCCCGAAACCACACGCTGTGCGTCGCATTTTTCCTAAGCGAGCCGCACCATGTTGTCTAAAGCTCTTCCTCAAAGAGGCCGCGTGTTCTTATTTTAGTGCTTCAGTTTGTGTATCACGGCAAGGGACAAAAACGTTTCTTTCAACTGCGCCACTCTGTTAAACTCGGCTTGCCGAGAACCCAGAATAAAGTTGACGTCACGAAGGCTTGGCGCTGAAGACGGTGGCACTCCATCCCTCTCAGCTCTGCAGCACTTAAGTGTGATGCACATGCGGTCTGTATAGTCGTGGTGGATTTCACGTCTTAATGAGTAGAGAACACGCTCGGAGGAGGCTCGAGTGAGCTGCGCACTTGCGGTTGTCTCTTTCGTGAAGCAGAAAGTTGAATCACCCATCTGAACTCGTGCTTTCCGTATTTATTTTTTTTGCACTCTCTTCTGTATTCCTTTTCACGTGTGCAGTAGTAGTCCAGACAAAGTAAAGTCGTACCTTTACAACACAGATTTATTTTAAGGAATACAGGGGTTCTGGCGGATGCCATTGGATGAAAGCTGTTGGAAAACAGCTTGACTAGGCCAGTAGTCTCTTACTAGACAGACGTGGTGGTTCTATGAAAAAAAAAAACAAATTACAACATTCTCAGAAGCTCGAAAAATATCAACAGGAATATAAAACAAGATCTAAATATTATAAAGAAACAATGAAAACAAGTTCGATGCACAGGAAGGCAGAAATATATGCAAAGGCTACAATAAATCCTACACAATAGGCTCTCAGAATAGAACACTGAAAACGATAATTTCAAAAAATCAGAAATGTGTTCAATCATCACACGTTTGCAGAATGTGCCTTCGCTTATACATTGTATAAATAAATACATTTCAGTTTGTTTTCCATACGATTGTTCTTATCAGAATATGCTCATCATATATACGGAACACATAGGTTTACCACATTGTCAATAGAAACAGTGCTCACACTTTTTGCAATTAATGTATTTATTTGGTACTTTCTCGTGATTATTGTATTGTCTCTCGACTGGCTTGCATTATGTTTAAACATTTTCGTGAATTCAGGCCGTTATGTCCAATGGACCGCGATGTTAGAGCGCCCTAGAAATCTCTGTCACTCTAGCGAAGTTTTGCATTTGTGTTCGTTTGCTTAATCGTCGTCTGTCGACTTGAGACAGAAACGATAGGAATCGTTTGGTATACAGAGAGTATAGTCTGCGTTGTAATTAGTGGTTTTCTGCTTTCAGCCGAGCGCAACCTTTCATACCCCTGAAGCTTCTTCTTTTTTTCGCTGCTTTACAACTTGTAATGTAGTACTGATTAGAACGGAAGAAGCAGCCTTTGTAAAAGCTCTCCTGACGGCCGTTATCTCGCCCGCAGACGACCAGGAGGTGCGACGCACGTGCACCGAGCGGCTGCAGATCAACATGTTTCTAGTGGACCACGTGTGCATGTACGAATCTGGCGGTGGCGGCCACATGTGTTTCTGTGAGAGTGACGCCTGCAACTCGGCTCCGACGGCCGCCAACAGCACGGCCTCTTCACTCATGGTCGTCCTGCTGCTGCTGCTGCTAGCCACCGTGCAGCGGTTCGTGACCTCACTCTCCACGTCGGCGACGACCGAGGCCCGTGCGAGGCTGAGAACTTCCTAGACCTCGCCGTGTCCGCTGGTCCCTGTGGACCACATGGTGTACAACTGGCCACCACCATCGGGGCGTCGAGGGAGAGACAGAGGAATGACTTTGACCGTCCACTATGTCGTATAGACGCCCGGGACATCATCCTCTTGCCCCTGCGTGAGCGCGGCTCTAAGCGCACCCAGACTCGAGGCCATGTGAAACGTCGAGCCCCGGTTCTGGCGTTTCAGTGGTGGCGGTGGCCTCGGGAGGTGCGCCCGAAAGGCAGCCCGACCCGTGTCACCGAGGCTGCTCAACGCAGTCATAACAGCGGCTGTGACTTAGGGCCGACTACGTCCACGTCACCAGACAGAGTTCTGACAACAAGTATATGTGTCGTTCTAACTTGTCCAACGTGATGCTGTTTTCGTCAAGAGTCTTGACGCGGCCGTAGGTTAGCTGACCGATCTCAGAGCCGTGTTGATCCGTCTTCTGTTGCTAGTTCTGGCTCTGATTGGTCTCTTTCCGAATCGGAATCAAACTTTTCTGCCTCGAAGAAGCGTAAGGGTGTTTCCCACGTTGTGCGTTCTAAGGGTGGGGTTGGTGACATTGTAAAACAATGGTTTCACTTTGTTCGTGGCCGAAACCTATATTTGGATGCGATTAGAAATTATTGATACTTATAACGAAAATAAATCTCCGTGGCTTGTGTACGTCGCTGTGTGAGGGGAATGCGGTGAGCATTGAGCCGCGTATTCACTAGCATCCCCACTTCATAAACTCAAAGAAAACGAGGCCATGTTTATCAGATAGTGGCGTATCCGACACTGCTCACCCACGAATGTGATGTGATAAACTTTAAATGGTGAACACCGTTACGCAGCTTCACATTTCAAGTGTTTTGTTGTTGTTTCACGTTTTGAACAGACGTGACTGTTCTCGCAGATAATTTTTGGGTTGATCGGCTATGATCAGCGGAGAACGGTTTTAGGCCTGTTGCTGAACTTGTGTGTTCACTAAGTGCATCGCTCCGTCTAGTAATGTAATGTTTTCAACGTTTCATCGCCATTGTTTACATCATGTGTTTGAGAGTGGTTATGCGAGTTGTCTTGACAAATATAGTTAGTGCATTTTTTTTACTGTCACATGATTGATGGAACCATTGCCGACGTAGCACGGCGATAATATTTGAATGATGTAGTTGTTGCTATGTTGGAAACTTCGCCAATGATTGCGATAGCATTCAGGAAGAACATTTCTTTGAAATAGCTTGCTATATTGAAAAGGACTATAGGTATGCTAACTCCGTACGATCGCTCCGGCCGACTTTACTACTACTATCACTGCTACTATTATAGATAATAGAAAAGTTAATAGAGGCAAAGCGTAAGTCAAGCTTTGATATCCACGCAAACTAGTTAACGGAAATCTTGATTCCGTGCAGTTATCCTAGACATCATTTCGTCGTTTGCATTTATAAACCTCTGGAATAGATCTTGACACGACATATTCTTAGGCTAACAACTAGCAAAAAAGAAAATAAATAGTCATACTACATAAGCCAGAGGGTTGCAATAACCGGAGCGGACACCGGTGGCTTTTCGTTTTTTCGAACGGATACGATTACGTATTTACGGCTGAAACGAGATGTGCGACAAACCGTGAAGCGGTAACGCACGCCATTTACTTCCCGGGCATGCTTTTTGCTCTAAAAGACTCTTCGCTCAGCGATTGTTAGACCTTTTCAAACGTCATACCTATACTATATTAGAGTTCGATCTTTCAAACAACTCGGAAATGTATCTTCATAACCACGAAGTTGTGCTTGGTCGTACCCGAAACATTGGGGAGAGGCCACTTTGTACATTTTAGCTCAGACTGCGCGACCCATTCATTCCAAGAAATGCCGCCAGGGTGCGCGCCACTAGAGAAATCTATACTTGCGATATCAGATATTTATAGATGATGCTATGGCTGAAGCTATTTAAACGCATGACGGATGAACTATACTGCTACCTCGGCCCTGATACTCAGTGTGTTGTTCTCGTCTGGCCTCCCGCCTTGTGCCACCCCACCCGTGAAATTGAACGTATGCGAAATGAGGTTGTTAATTGCGCTGATGCCTACTCCAACGAATGGCGCTGATGTTTGTCCTCGAAATGGGACGTGTTAATATCCGACCGCGACGCACCTGTTAATCGGACCGGCAGCTTTTCTGGCGAATCGACTTGGTCAGATGTCCTCTTAACTTGGCAGTTATTGTGATTCTCTTCGGGTTTCGAGGTACACTTGATCCTACCTGTTGATAACGAAAAGCGCAAGAATCACTCAACGCAGCTCAGCATTTAGTCGTTGGACGGGCCAGCTGTCGGGACAGAATACCTCATCACTACCATCTGCAATTGAAAGTCTATTCAAGAAAGTTCCACGCAAGGTTGAATAGAAGTCAAGCGAAAAACGTCAAAAAAATTATTCGTAAGTAAATTCCTAGCCTAAACGCTGACCTGTTTTGTTAAGACCACCAGTACATCTCTAGCAAAATTGTTAACCAGAGTTACTTATGCAATATCAGGCAATCAAAAAAGAAAAAAAAAAGATTTATGGAAGACTTTGCTGGTACTAAGTTTGAAACTTTTCTAGCATTCGTTTTGGTTCGCTGATATCATTTCGGGACAGTTTTGTTGTGCAGGGAGTATCGGTAGCATGCAAAGCAAACCGAACTTTAACGTAGCTTCGGAGTGATTCGCTTATAAAGGCTTTACTTGAATGATGTCGCTGTGGAAATGTAGGAATCAATAGAGTGTTCATCTTGAACACAGCCGAGGTTTGCCGTCAAGGACTCCATCAGCCGGTCCGAAAATTGAACTTCTATACGTTTCGTGCGGGTGGCGGCGTTTGAAGGTCCAGTCTATAGTTTGTATAGGGAGTGCGTGGAAAGTAGATAGCCAACCGCGGCCAGCTAAAGGCGTGTCAGTCGCGCGTAGGTTTGCTTGGTCTATAGAAAAAGGCCCCGTTATTCCACGAGAGGGGGCTCATTCGAGAAAGCCTTGCAATGGCGCGGTCTTCGCGAAACGCAACGCCGTTCGATATATCAGCTGCTCACTTCATTTCGACTGCTCCACCTTTCGGGCTATGTGTATGTATACATATATAAAAAGCACGGTGTGATGATATGTCGCGCGATAGCAGTTGAACGCGCGTATGTTTTTTTTTTCTCGATCGCCTTGTAGCAAAGAGCAGAATTCGGAATGTTTGGAGCGATGCGAAGCGACTCCAGTGTTTTCAATACGTCGCGTATTTCGGAATTCGGAGCGACAGGTAGTGTCTTGTAAGCTGTCAAGTTGTACGCCTTCAGAAAGCGTTATCACCCTACTATCCGTCATTTATCGCGAAACGGAACGTTTAGACATTGATACCTCCGATACGAACGTGGTTATCAAGGGCACAATGTGTGTCATGTCACAGCTGTGAAACAAAGCGTAGTCATGCCGACGTACGGCGAGCCTAAAACATACTTTTCAGTGATGTAATTTTTGTTTACAGGTTTCGCATAATTGACGCTTTATGGAAATCAGTCTTTTTTTCATTTCTTTCTAGTTTTTAACTGGCGCTTTGGGAACATTGTGCGCCCAAGGTATCGTCTACTATTTAAGCTCAATATCTTATAATCTTGCGGTCTTCTACATGTATAGTGCTCGTATAGTAGTGCTGGTGTTGGATTTCGTGAATACTTGCTTCGTATGTACGTGTGTGCCCGCCTCCGCTGAAACTTGTGCTTGTACAGAAGGCGTAAAGACGTCGCACGGAAGTTCTAAAATACATAAATAAGGTATATAGATTTACGAGTCACTGCTCAGGATAGGGAAAAAAAAAAGCTTGGTGCTCCTTTGAAATAGGTTTCAGACGCGAGTAGGAAAAATATATATTTGTGAAGAGCAAAAGATTTTACCCAGTCACCGGTGAGGGCTGACAGGTTTATCTGCGGTTGTGTACTAGACGATAACTCAAAGACGTGTGTTCAAACGCAGCCAATCCAAAGGTGAACTTCGCGACGATTACCCTTCCGAATGAATAAGCGCGTAGCATAGCATGCTTTTAATGAGTGCTTGACATTTTTTACGCTAATGAAGCTAATGCTAATGAATTAGTCAATTAGAAATTAGATAGTGAAGTTACGGTCCACTCATGCGATAACACTGTCCCGCTTGAATTCACGTCTGCGGTAAGAATTTTCATGGAACAACAACAACAACAACAACAACATCAACAACAACAACAACAACAACAACAACAACAACAACAACAACAACAACAACAACAACAACAACAACAGCAACAGCAAACATGCCCTTATTTACGTCAACACACGAACTAGTGCGCTAAGAACGCACTGATTCGCCTTTCAGACCAGGAAGCAACTTTTGCAAGCTTATATGTGTTGATAAAAAAAGAAAGGATAAAAATGAGGACGAAAGCTGCTCTGATGTTCTCTCTTGTGTGTGCAATGACTTGACCGCATGAACACGCCGAACGTGCTGCAAAATTTAACGCATAACGTTGGCAGTTAGACGAACAGTATTTTACCGCACTTCATCATTCATTCCGACTTAAAGCTTGCGCTACCACGTGCATTTTTGAGGGCTAGGCTAACCACATTTATCTCGACGCGATTCGATGTTGTTGTAGCCGGGCTTAAGTAGCCAAGATAAGGAAAGCAGTTTCTCATTAAAGAAGAGCAGCGGTACCTTGCGACCAAATACATATCAGATTAAACTCGTTTCGGGATGCACGTACGGCAACGTATACGTTGGTGTGGAGAATCGCGTGCACACGTCTGAGCACCGCTGGAACTGGTGACGACCGCTGTTTGCGAGTCTGATCACTTTTGTTCTTGGCGATATGCAAGACACGAAAAAAAAATATATATATACGCCTACTTTCACAGCACCTATACACGTTATAGCCAGCCTCAAACGCTACAGGCATATATTCCTGTGTCGCGCAGTGCTATTTCGTGTCTGGTAAAATAAATAACTGGATGAATGCAAGCTGCGGAACGCTTGTAGATTCCGGTGTCTTATGCAAACATCAATACCGAAAGTGTGCTGTTTAGCAGCCGAAACAATTTTTGCCCGTTAGGGTAATTTTCTAGTAAAAGATAACGTGCTTCAATCGCACTATGGGAAAGGTAGCTGGCAGCTTGAACTATAGCTGACAAATACTCAAGAAAAGAAAAACAACTAAAAATTGAGTGTTATGACGAAACTGGTAGCAAGTATTGCAAAAACAAAGTGCATGTTGCGTCACCAATTATGTTCAAAGCCTTTCATTTAAAGTAAACAGGGACTGGACTCCCACTTACTTGAACAGCGTTTTTAATGGAAGGCACGAAGTTGCAATATTAGCAAAATACGTCAAGATTACTGCTATCACCGCTCTTGCAATCTAAAATAACTATAGCAATGAAGCCATAACGCTTGTGCGACTCGAAATGGCGACGACTCTAGCCTTCGAAGCAATAAATAAAGCGAGAAATCGAGTGCAAGACGTAGAGACTGTTGTCAGTGTATACGTCTA